GTTAAAAAAAGGTTAGATGAAATGCTACCTAGAATAATCACCTTACAGAAAAACATGAACAACTTGATGGAGCTGAAAAACACAGCATAAGAACTTGGTGAAGCATACACAAGTTTCAATAGCTAAAATGATCAAGCAGAAGAAAGAATATCACAGATCAAAGATCAACTCAATGAAATAAAATGAGAAGGCAAGACTAGAGAAAAAAGAGTCAAAAGGAATTATGAAAGCCTCCATGAAATATGTGATTCTGTAAAAATACCTCATCTTGATTGGTGTACCTGAATGTGATGCGGAGAATGAATTCAAGCTGGAAAACACTCTTCAGGATATTATCCAGGAGAACCTTCCCAGCCTAGAAGGGCAGGCCAACATTCAAATCCAGGAAATACAGAGAACACCAAAAAGACACTCCTCAAGAAGAGCAATCCCAAGCCACATAATCATCAGATTCACCAACGTCAAATGAAGAAAAAAAAGCTAACAGCAGCCAGAGAGAAAGGTTAGGGCACCCACAAAGGAAAGCCCATCAGACTCACAGCAGACCTCTCTGCAGAAACCCTACAAGCCAGAAGAGAGTGGGGGACAATATTCAACATCCTTAAAGAAAAGAACTTTCAACGCAGAATCTCATATCCAGCCAAGCTAAGCATCAAAAGTAAAGGAGAAATAAAATCCTCTGTGGACAAGCAATTACTGAGAGATTTCCTTACCACCAGATCTGCCTTAAAGAGCTTCTGAGGGAAGCGCTAAACATAGAAAGGAGCATCCAGTACAAGCCACTGCAAAATTATACCAAATGGTAAAGACCAATGATGCAATGAAGAAACCACATCAACTAATGGGCAAAAAAAGAAAAAGACCAGTAACAAAATGGCAGGGCCAAATTGACAGAAATTTATTTTAGCATTAAACATAAACAGACTAAATGTCCTCATCAAAAGACACAGACGGGCAAACTGGATAAAATGTCAAGACCTATCAGTGTGCTGTATTCAGGAGACCCATCTCATGTGCAAAGACTCACATAGACTCAAAAGGAAGGTATGGAAGAAAATTTACCAAGCAAACGGACAGAAAAAAAAAAGCAGAAGCTGTAATCCTAGTCTCTGGTAAAACAGACTTCAAACCAACAAAGATCAATAGAGACAAAGAGGGGCATTACGTAATGGTAAAAGGATCAATGCAGCAAGAAGAGCTAACGATCCTAAATATATATGCACCCAATACAGGAGTGCCCAGAGACATAAAGCAACTTCTTGACCTACAAAGAGACTTATTTTCCCAGATAGTAATAGTGGGAGACTTTAACACTCCACTGTCACTATTAAACAAATAAATGAGACAGAAAATAAACAAGGATATCGAGGACTTGAACGCAGATCTGGACTAAGCAAACCTAATAGACATGTACGGAATTCTCCACCCCAAATCCACAGAATATACATTCTTCTCAGTACCACATCACACTTCCTCTAAAATTGATCACATAATTGGAAGTAAATCCCTCCTCAGGAAATGCAAAAAAACAAAAATCATAACAAACAGTCTATTAGACCACAGTGCAATCAAATTGCAACTCAGAACTAAGAAATTCACTCAGAACTGTACAACTACATGGAAACTGAACAATTGGCTCCTGAATGTCGATAAACAATGAAATGAGGCAGAAATGAAGATGTTCTTCAAAACCAATGAGAATGAAGACACATCGTACAAGAAACGCTAGGGCATATTTAAATGAGTGTCTAGAGGGAAATTTATAACAATCAATGCCCACATGAGAAGTTAGGAAAGATCTGAAATCAACACCTTATTGTCAAAATTGAAAGAGTTAGAGAGGCGAGATCAAAAGAACTCAAATGCTACCAGAAGATAGGAAATAACTAAGCTGAAAGCAGAATGGAAGGGTAAGGACACAAAAAACCCTTCAAAAAATTAATAAATCCAGGAGCTGGTTTTTTGAGAAAACCAACAAAATAGACAGACTTCTAGCTAGACTAATATAAAAGAAGAGAGAAGAATCAAATAGATGCAATAAAAAATGATAAAGGGGATTTCACCACCGAACCCACAGAAATACAAACCACCATCAGAGATTACTACAAACAACTCTATGCATAAAAATTAGCAAATCCAGAAGAAATGGATAAATTCCTGGACACTTAACACCCTCCCAAGACTAAATCAGGGAGAAGTGGAATCCCTGAATAACCAATAACAAGATCTGAAGTTGAGGCAGCAATTAACAGCCTACCAACCAAAAAACGTCCAGGTCCAGATGGGTTTACAGCCAAATTCTACCAGATCTACAAAGAGGAGCTTTTACCATTCCTTCTGAAACTATTCCAAATAACACAAAAAGAGGGAATCCTCCCTAACTCATTTTATGAGACCAACATCACCCTGATACCAAAACCTGGCAGAGACTCAATTAAAAAGGAAAACTTAGGCCAATATCCAAGATGAATACCAATGCAAAAATCATCACTAAAATACTGGCAAACCAAATGCAACAGCACATCAAAAAGCTTATCTATCATGACCAAGTAGGCTTCATCCTGAAGATCCAAGCCTGCTTCAACAAATGCAAATCTACAAACATAATTCATCACATAAGCAGAACCAAAGACAAAAACCACATGATCATCTCAATAAAGAAGGCCTTTGACAAAATTCAACAGTCCTTTCTGCTAAAAACTCTCACTAACCTAGGAATCAATGGAACATATCTCAAAATAATAAAAGCTATTTATGACAAACCCACAGCCAACATCATACTGAATGGGCAAAAACTGGAAGCATTCCCTTTGAAAACTGGCACTAGACAAGGATGCCCTCTGTCATCATTCCTGTTCAGTATAGTATTGGAAGTTCTAGCCAGAGCAATCAGGCAAGAAAAAGAAATAAAGCATATTCAATTAGGAAAAGAGGAAGTCAAATTGTCTCTATTTGCAGACAACATAATTGTTTATTTAGAAGACCACATCGTCTCAACCCAAAATCTTCTTAAGCTGATAAGCAACTTCAGCAAACTCTCTGGATGCAAAATCAATGTGCAGAAATCACAAGCATTCCTATACACCAATAACAGGCAGACAGAGGGCCAAATCATGAGTGAACTCCCCTTCACAATTGCTGCAAAGATAATAAAATACCTAGGAATATAACTAACAAGGGAGGCAGAGGATCTCTTCAAGGAGAACTACAAACCGCTGCTCAAGCAAATAAGAGAGGACACAGGGAGATGGAAAAACATTCTGTACCCATGATTAGGATGAATCAATATTGTGAAAATGGCCATACTGCCCAAAGTAATATATAGATTCAACACTATCCTCATCCAGCTACCATTTACCTTCTTCACAGAACTGGGAAAAAAACCACTTTAAACTTCATATGAAATGAAAAGAGAGCCTGCATAGCCAAGACTAAGCAAAAACAATTTTGCAATTCTAAGCCAAAGAACAAAGCTGAAGGCATCACGCTACCTGACTTGAAACTATACTACAAGGCTACAGTAATCAAAACAGCATGGTACTGCTACCAAACAGAGGTATAGACCAATGGAACAGAACACAGGCCTCAGAGGCACTGCCACACATCTACAACAATCTGGTCTTTGACAAATCTGACAAAAGCAAGCAATAGAGGAAGGATCCTCTGTTTAATAAATGGTGTTGGGGAAACTGGCTAGCCAGGTGCAGAAAGCTGAAACCAGGCCCCTTCCTTACAACTTACACTAAAATTAACTCCAGATGAACTAAGGATTTAAACATAAATCCTAACAGTGTAAAAATCCTAGAAGAAAAACCCATGTAAAACCATTCAGGACACAGGCATATGCAAGGAATCCATGACGAAAACACCAAAAGCAATGGCAACAAAAGCCAAAAGAGACAAATGGGATCTAGCCAAACCCCAGAGCTTCTGTACAGCAAAACAAACAACATTAGAGTGAACTGGCAACCAACAGAATGGGAAAAAAATTTTTTGCAATCTACCCATCTGACAAAGGGCTAATATCCAGAAGCTACAAAGAACTAAAACAGATTTACAAAAAAAAAAAAAACCATTCAAAAGTAGGTGAAAGATATGAACAGACATTTTTCAAAATAAGTCATTTATGAGGCCAACAAACATATGATAAAATGTTCATCGTCACTAGTCATTAGAGAAATGCAAACCAAAACCACATTAAGATACCATCTCACACCAGTTAGACTGGCAATCAAAAAAACAGGAGACAACAGCTACTGGAAAAGATGTGGAGAAACAGAAACACTTTTACACTGTTGGTGGGAGTGTAATTTAGTTCAACAATTGTGGAAGATAGTGTGATGATTCCTCAAAGATCTAAAAATAGAAATACCATTTGACCCAGCAATCCTGTTACTAGGTATATATCCAAAGGATTCTAAATCATTCTATTAAAAAGACACATGCACACGTATGTTCATTGCAGGACTCTTTACAACAGTGATGCTGCTGCAACTACTTTTCACTAAGATGCCTCAGATTTCTGTAGTGATTCTACATTTGATATTATTCACAATGTAAGTCTCCTTGTTTGGCACAAGGTCATCACTAAGGAAGTGTTCACGGGGTGAATGCGGTGGGGGTTGTAGAAGGAACGCGTAAAGCCTGTGGGATGAGAGAAAGAGCAGAGGGCGTCTTTGGGGCTGAGGCTCTGAGGAGGAGGCAGCGCGGACTGCAGTGCGGTGCTGATCCTTTTCCAGCTCCTGTTTGGAGGTCTCCAGAACAGGCTGGAGGCAGGGAGAGGTGCCCAAAAGACTTGGGATCAGAGGGGTTTTCCCGCTTGGCTCCCCGCCTCAGGAAGACAGAGGATGAGCCACCGCGCTGCTCATAGTGGGGTTGAGGGTGGGGCTGGTCAAGGTTCCCAGAGCCCGCACCCCACCCAGGGAGCCCTGATGGCGGTGTCGCTGTCAGTGTCTTTCCCGGAGGCCGCCCCTGTGACCGGATCGTTTGTGTCTCCACAGCACGTTTCTTGGAGCTGCTTAAGTCTGAGTGTCGTTTCTTCAACGGGACGGAGCAGGTGCGGTTCCTGGAAAGACACATCTATAACCAGGAGGAGTTCCTCGTCTTCGACAGCCACGTGGGGGAGTACCGGGCGGTGACCGCGCTGGGGCGGCCTGAAGAAGATCCTGGAACCGCCGGAAGGAACTCCTGGAGCTGAAGCCGGTCCAGGTGGACAACTGCAGACACAACTCAGGGATTGGGAGAGCTTCGCAGTGGGGAGGAGAGGTGGGTGCGGCGGGCGGGGCCTCCCTGTGAGCTGCCAATCAGAGACAGAGAGAGAGAGAGAGAGAGAGAGAGACATCTGCGAGCGTTTAGAATCCTCTCAATCCTGAGCAAGGAGCTCTGAGGGCACAGGTGTGTGTGTAGAAAGTGGATTTGTGTGTGAGGCTGTTCTGGGAGGGGAGGCAGGAGGGGGCTTCTTCCTGTCCTGGAGGCCTCTGTGGGGAGGTGACATGGGAAGTGGCTGCAGGGGCTGGAGAGGAAGGAGACCTCGACTGTCCTGGGTCCTTAGAGATGCAGGAAGGGAAGTGTGAGGTGTGTGTGGCTGGGGTGAGGGTTTGGGGGAGGAGAGCTGAGGGGTGTGGCAGGTTTGGGATAGTGTGAGGAGGCCAGTTCCAGACTGTCCCTGCACACACCCTTCATGCAGTCTCTGAAATCAAAGTGTGCGGTGTTTGCAAAAGCATCAGATGAATTTCTAGAGGAGCTGAGGAGACCTCTGAGGCACCTCTGAAGCTTTGCATGTCTAAATATCTTGCTATTTTCTTGTGTTTTCTTAGTGTGTGTGTTTTTACGTAGTTGAAATTGTAGCAGGAGCGGCAGCGAAAAACAGACCTCTCTAACACCGAGCGGGGAAGGAAGGAAGGAAGGAAGGAAGG